AGGAGTCTGGCGGAAACGCTCTACACCATCATGGACGGGACCCCGAACAGGAACACAGTCATCGTTTCGACCGGCCTCAACGGCGAAATGGATGCGGTCGAGCGAGGGCCTCGTGCAGGAGGTGGATAGCGTAAGCTTGGGGCCCTACTCGAGGACGCTAGAACACGTAGCGGGCACGACCTATCGAGAGCGGCTGGAGGACAGGCGTGACCACGATAACGGGCTGGTATCCATGCGGCCCCACCTTCCATAGGCACGAGAGCTCCAGCTACAGCGACCACCTAGCGATCTTGGCCCCGCGGTTGCAGAGATTGCAGCGGTGTGCGATCGCCTGCAGCCTCACCCGCAGAGTACGCGCAACCCCGTCCACCGCGATGCTTGACCACAGGATAATCGCGGCGGAAATAGACTGCAAGCCCACCTTCCAGGCCCCCAGGGTGGACGCGACAAAATGGGACTACTATTCGCCCAGCAAAGCGCTGAAGGATAAGGAAGAGGCAGAGGTGTTCAGGAGAGAAGTCGAGCTGGCGTTGGAGCGGCGCGTACGCGACGCAGGACACACGGAGGTCACCACCTGGATGCGGGATCACGCGCTCGAGTCTTCATGGGCAGATATGGTCAATAGTATTAAACGAGGTGTTCAAACACGATACGCGACCAGTCGTATAGATCGGCAGAATGGCACGTGCGAATAGTACGGGAGAGGGAGAAATCACTTCGCGCACGCACAGCAGCACGTGGCAATCTAGATGGCAGTCTGGAGAGTGCGAGGTACTTGAGACAGTGTACGAGACAACGCAAAGAAGCACGATCCCGAATTCGACAGAGACGCGAATCCGACCTACACGACCAACCTGCAGCAGCACTTCGGTCTCATAGAGAGGGCGCGGCGTTGCGCGCGTGCTTCGAGATGGCAGGCAGCGGGCTAGCACCCCGCAGGCGTGACCTATACGCGCTTCCCGAACCGCGACCAGATCTTCATGCATGGGCCGAGGACCTGGCTCTCAAGGGGGTGGGGGGGGGCTCGCGGCGGAGCAGGTCGAGCAGGAGCAGTTCCTCGCGAAGGCCGCGGAGCAGGACTACCCGATCCACCCTGAGATGGAGCGCTGGGAGGCGGCCAACCTAGACCTCGACAGGCTGGTCGGGAAGTCTCCGAGTGGCCACCGCCGCCGCGCTTCTCCACGCTGGCCCACGCCGACGGAGATATGGTGATTGCTGATGTCTCGCCGAGCCCAGCGTAGTGATCGAAGAGAGCGGGCGCCCACCATTGGCCCTGCACTGCAGGAGTTTCCATTGCCGCAGGTGGCAGAAGTGACACAACGCAATCGACGCAATGCGTGATGGAATCCCGCACAAACGCATCAGGTTAGCAAGACGAATCAGAGGGCGCGCGCGCGAAGGGGCGCGTCCTCTACCGGTGCTCTGTAGTTTCGGCGAGGCAGGGGTCGGCATCCGACCCCGACGCGACGGTCTCCGCACGCCGCGCGAGGACCGCGGTCGCGCGAGGGGGCGATCCAGGGCGGGGGCGCCCGCGGTGGGCAACGCGCTGCAGCGGCGCCTCTCGGCAGTGAATGTCAGCCATATCGCCGCGAAGCACGACGTGGCGAACGCACTTGCCAGCGTCAGCCACGAGCACCTCGACAAGACGGCGTGCCAGATGTATCGGCCAGGGGGCGCGCGGATCACGCTCGCCAGACATCGCTGCGCAGCATGCGCTGTGAACCCGCGCGACGGGGGAGGCACCTTCGCCCGCGCCGCGGGGTGCTTCATGGGCGATTCCGACGCGGCCGCCAAGTTCAGGGTCGCGTTTGAGCAGCCGGCGCAGGTGTGGCGGCGCTTTCGTTTTCCTTCGAATGATGCGCATGCGCTGACAGCAGGATGCCCCAACACAAACAAACCGTGTGATGTGGGTGCTCAGAAGTACGCGGGCGACCTGACCCGCGCGCGCGCGGCCCCAGATGCGCGCAGCGCGGCTACGAAGGTCGAGACCTCGGATCGCTGCTTGGACAAGGCTCTCAGCCGCATCTGACTGGCGCAGAGTCGTGAAACAGAGGAGCTGTGAGTCCTTGTTTCGTGGGAAGACGTTCGCAGAGATCCACCGGGGCGCTCCGCTACCATGGGGCACCCGTCGCTGGAGAAGTGCAAACCACCTCGCTCTTCTTGCGGGCCATGGCCCAGACCTTAGGGCGTAGCGACGAGGAGATTAGGGCGAGGTGCTCAGCCATTCGGGCGGGCTGTCGTGAAGTTCTGGAGAGCTTGCGCCTTCTTCGGGCGCGATCGCTTCGTCTTCATGAGCAGGGTGATCGGAGCGGCGGTCTCGGGCCTTGAGGCGAGGGCCCTCGCGATGGACCAGAAAAAGAAGCTCGATTCGGGCGCGGCCAGGCATGCTAGCGCGCTGCGCCGGGGGATCGCGATCTATAGGCAGCTGAATGATGAGGTAGAGTAAGAACGGTGGAAGGTCACGACCGCACGTGCGGAAGCCGCGTGGAAAAAAGACAGAGGTCTTTCCCCCCAGCTTCTAGCATGCGGCGCGTCGGCTTCGACATCATCAAGCTCTCTCTCGCCGCCCCCTTCGTCGCGCTCAGGAACTTGCCGCTGTCTTCGGGGAGATCGCTTTCGAGAGCGCGACGCCGCAACAATGCTCGCGGGCCCCCGAGCGTGCCCCGGGGGTCACCCCGAAGGGCCGCGCGAACCCCTGGGCCTTGCACTTCAAGAACGATTTGTTCTACTTGGGTAGGCTCGAGGTCAGGGTGGAATTTCTGAACGCGACTTTCTGAGGGCGTCCCAGGTGCCGGAGCTGCTCGCCAAGTTCTTGAAGTGCAACATGCAATTCCGTGGACAATGGCTCGAGCCCCCGAAGGAGACCCCCATCGGGCTCCACGAGGACCAGCAGTGCTTCGCGGGTGGTATCTATTCTCCCTACTAAACGAGGACGGCCTGGGGCGCGAAAAAAGGTTGCACGCGGCGCGCGCACTTCGAGCGCATCAAACACACTGAGGAGGAGGCGGACGCGGACAACTAAGCATGTTCAGTAAGTATACGGTCACAAACCCGTGTCCGACGTGCGCCTCGACATTTGCATGTTGGCGCGCAGCCATCAATCATGTCGCATCAGCGCGCCGACAGGGGAGATGCATAGCCCAGAAGTCGACGCTCAATTGTCCCGCCGCTCTTCCGCAGCAGTTTACGTGCCCCGAGTCGGAGTGCGCAGTCGAGTTTGCCGTCCTACCTACGCTCCAGCTGCGCCTTGCGACCGCGCACTTGCCGCAGTCTTTTTTACCAACTGTCGCGGTTGCAGGCCCCGCTCGAGGCACTCGAGGAAGACGCAGCCGAGCCGTGCAAGATGGAGCTGCAGACGAGAGGAGACGGGCAGTCACGCGCGGCGTCGGGAGCAAGGGCAGCATCGGCAGGCAGCGCGAAGAAGGAAAACCCGAAGATCGTGGACACTTCAGAGCTCGACGGCATGACTGTTGAGATCAGGGCAGTCCAGAAGTACCTCACAGGTCTCCCGTTGGCGGAGGCCGACAAGAGGATCACAGAGATGGGCCCCGACTCAGTGGCGTTCCGCGCGGGGCTATTCGAGGGCGTCCTAGCGGCGGGAGTGGCGGAGAGGCGCACGTGCAAGACGCAGCTCGAGGATCGCAGAAAGCAGCAGCAGCAGAAGCAGGTCAGTGTCCTGCTGATGGGAGAGCTCGAGCCGATGGTGAAGATCACAGGCTGCCACGAGATATGCAAGGTCAAGCTAGTCCTGGGCGTCGCGAGCAGCAAGGCCCGCGACCAGCCAGTGCATGAGGCGCTGGACCAGGTGGGCGCAGCCTACGAGCAGGGCATGGCCCCGAAGGGCCAATGCGAGTGTCTGGTAGACACGCGATACCACGAGCTCGAGGTGACGATGGAGAAGCAGGCGTCAGGAGCAGGCGTCAGGACTCCCGAAGAGGAGATAAATACGGGCCGAGGAGCTCGTAAATAGCCTGAGCCACGCAGCCAGCATGTTGATTGTTAGTTTCCCTACTTGTTCCCCTTCCCCTGCTCGTCTCGCTTCTCGCGCCGCACCTCCACCCAGAGCCCGAGCAGCGCCGTCCAAACTGAGCCCGAGCCAGCTGCCTCTCCAGTCCACAGTCGTACGATCGATCATCGCACGAGTAGGATGTCTTTCAGAGGCCAGGCGGCGGGTGGAGAGCTTCGTAGGTACCGGCCTGTGAGCGAAGAAGTTGGAACGCGTTAGCGCGTGAAGATTACTGATGCCTCGAGGACCCCTGGCCCCCCTGAGCGCCCCTCGGAGCCCCGTGCGACTACGGGGCGGATATTTCTGCGCGGTGGAGCGGTTCGGATGCGAGCGCGGCTCTGCGGCTTTTGGGGGCACCGCGACAACAGCCGTTATAGTCGCGGCCGTGAGTCGCCACCGTGTTCGGTCACGCATCGCGAACTGAAGCCCGGGTGTAGCCCTATCCAAAGGGCTCGAGTGCACGGGGCTCCTGCTGGCCCCCAATGGGTTCTGATCTCATCATCGGCATCATCGTCCCTTTGGTTCTGTCGCGTGCCGGGAGGGCGGGCAACCCCTCTGCACATGCAGGGGCCTTCTCTTTCCCCCCCCCCCTCCTCTCGCGCGGCAGCGGGCAATGGTGGCGGCGGCTCGGCTGGGCGGAATTTTCGCTCAGCTCCTGCGAATGGCAAGCGAGAGTCAGACTCGCGTCTCAACTTGCTCGTCTGCTCGCCCAGGTCCTCTTTCGTCTTGCAGAGAACGCAGCGGAGAATAATCCGATGCTGATTGGCCTGTTCACGGTGCTGCTGGGGCCTCTTTCTGAGCATGTGGCAGTGGACTTTGGTCACAAAAAACACCATGCGTGAAGTTCATGTATCGATTCGTCTTTGTGCTGCTCCTGGAGATGGTCGCCCCTTCGGTGCTTAGGATCCACCAGGCCCTGGTGGTGGGCCCCCCTCTGGTAGTGCATATGGGCGCCCTGGCCCTGATTGGGACGACTTTGGAGATCACCAAGGAGGCGCCGGTCGCTGTCGAGGCGATAGTTGCGGCGCCAGCGGTCACGGTGGGGGGAAGAGGGGGCGTTGGCGCAGAAACTACGGGCGCAGGCGCTCGGCGAGTGCTGCATCCACTGCCCTTCCTGATGTTCCTCTGCCCCCCGGCTTCTCATTGAATGCGGAGGATGCACATGTATTTCTCCCTTGTGGCCATGGCGCTGCCGTCTTGATTGTTCGCCCATGGTTCTGGATGAACGGGGCCAGAGTGACATCATTGATGATCTGATGCGCGAGCATGGTGAAAACGAGTATGAGTTTCGTGCTGGCCCTGATTTCCACGTGGATCCTGATCTTGTTTTTCCCGGTGGCACGAGGGAGAATAGAGACGACGTGGATGGCGAACATCCTGTTGCAGGAACTTTGCGGGGCACATGGTCGTCACGATTTTCTCCAGGTGCCTGCAGCCGCTGATGAGCATGGCGGAGGATTTCGTGGTGACGGACTTCATACGGTGCCGTGCGGAGGAACGCCATCGGTACGGGACGAGATATGGGAGGGCGATCCGAGTGGTTTTGGTGTGTTGATTCATGCTATACGTGGTCTGCGCGATACTGCCCATGCTGCGGTTCCAGGTGTTGCGCCTGGGGGCGCGGGTTTTGACGAAATATGTCCCCCTACATCGCCGCTCCGAAAGTTCGTTGAATTTTCTGAGTTGGGCCCGATGGCATTGCGTGCTCGCCTACGTTGCACCCCTCTTGGCAACGGCCCCGACGGGGCTGAGGGGCAGGATGCGTTGAACCCCCCTTCCCCCCCTTGAAGCCTCGCAAGATAGCCCTCTTGCGTGGTCTCGGCGGGATCCTTGGTGAGTAGTTCCCCCATAAATGATATAGTTGTTGTCAAGCCAACCATAACTTTCACCCATTAAAGATAGGGTGCAGATAAATCTCGCGGCGGGACCCAGTCCCGCCAATGTATGACGTGGTCGGGTCGTTTTGAGGTCATCTCGAAGTCATCTCCAGTTAATATTGAGATCATGGTGTTGTAGTCTGGGAATGCTCTGGCCACCTCGGGGTCGCTCAGGAGCCACCGCGCCTGGTCTCCAGGGTATCGCTCACATCCTGGGCCGTCGTGGATTCCCCCCCCCCAGGGGATTTCGACGCTGCGTCTGGATCCTGCAGGGGCCACGGGGTCTTCTTGGGGTCGCCCCGAGGTCATCTTCGTGCCCGTCTGAGGCCGTCGTGGCACCATATTGGGGCCATGGGGCCGCCCAGGCATCCTGTCAGGATCGTCTGGAGGTCTTCCGTGTTTCCTAGGAAACTTTCGTTAAGCCTAAGTACTGGCATTGGTGTGAGTCTTTGGTCTATTTCAAAAAAGTTCGTCTACTGGCATTGGTGGGGTCTCTGGTTGATTTCAAAAATGTTCTCTGTGTGGCATTGGTGGGTGTCTCTGGGTTAACTTCAAACACGCGTTGCTGCTGGCACCGGTGGGGTCTCTGAGTTATTCATAAAAAATTCTCCGTTTGGGTGTCCCTTGAGATAACTTAGACATGCCCTGCTTCTGGCATTGATGGTGTCCCTGTTCTGCTTAGACCACGCGTTCCGTCTGGCTTCAGTGGGCGTCTTTTGATCGATTACAAACGTGCTCCGCTAATTACTGACGTTGGTGGTGTCCTTGGCTGATTGCAAACATGTTATCCGTTTTGCCGTGGTTGGCGCTTCTAGATTATGTCTGCTACTGGCGTTGGTGGCGTATCTGATTCGTTTCAAACATGTTGTCCGTCTGACATTGGTGGGTGTCGCTTGATATGTTTCAAGCGTGTTCAACAAAGGGCGCTCGTGAGAGTTTAAGATATTTCACCCGTGCTCCGCGTTCGCGGCGGGATTGGCTCACCCCCCGCGGGCCCCCCGCTGCTTGTCGAAGACGCGCATTCTCCCCTCTCTTGAAACAAGTAGAAACGTAAATCACCATCGTCATCAACATATTCGTCATTGTCTTCGTCATCATCATCAGCATCGCTAGCGTCATCGCCAACATCAATTTCATCAGCATCATCATCAGGATCGTCACCGTCAGCACCATCTCCATCATCACGCTTATCATCATTGCCCATCATCACCCGAATTCATCCCTCATCATCCCTCTTTCCTTGTCCCTCACCCATCGTCCTCCTTCTCCACCCTCCTCCTCCTCCTCCTCCTCTTCTTCCTCCTCCCATTCAGACGCATGTTCACAGACATCGAACGGGCCCGATTTCGTCGAGACATAGACACCCCAGGACCTCTGCACCGACTCCCTTGCGACACGCACCGTAGGGGTGCGCTCCTCTAGGCCGCCCAGATGGGGTCGAAGTGGATGGGGTCGGTGGATCGCGCCTCATTGCCGATGCCACGGCGATGTGGCTTGATGTGGGGCGTTCCAAGAATGGCTTCGCCTTCGAGGATCGAAGGAGTTGTCATCTCTTTCTCGGCGGACGGCGGCGGAAGGCGGAAATAGAACAGAGCGGTTCCGCCGGCGGAAGCCGGCAGAATCTCGGCGGAAGCCGGCGGAAGCAAAAGTCGATTCCCCAAGATATGATAACGTTTTTGGATTCGGGGTTTCCGGAAATTGCGATGATGCCCCCGATTGTTTCCACGCCGACGTCGAGGATTTATCGTTGACGTTGCCGCTGCATGGGCGATCCGACGGCAATGTTGAGCGATCTTTCGACCCCATCTACGCAATCGTACCCGATATGGGCGGCATCCAGTTCCGGAGGAGAAGCTAGCCGCGGCGGCGAGGATGTTCCAGGATAAAGCGCAAAGCAAATTTGAAGTACTCCTGTCCTCGAAGCTCGGTGTCCCTGAAGGCATCCGGAGATGCTTGCAGGGCTCCAGAGGAATCCAAATGGCCGAAAGGACAAAAAGCCAACCAAAGTTCTGATCCTCATATCCGGTCCTGGAATATCTGTCTTCGAAGCTCGATCCTTGATGGCAAGGGCGAGCTGGCCGGCCGTGCTTGGCTCGTGACGCGACATCGTCATCGTCACCGTCCGCGTTGCCCTCGTCGTCGCCATCGTCGTCGTCATCGCCATCACCGTCGTCGTCACCATAGTTGTCGTCATCATCGTCGCCGTCGCCACCGTCGTCATCAACGTTTTCGACGTCAACGGCGTCAACGGTGCCAGCGTCGTCGTTGTTGTCGTCGGCGTCACCGTCACCGTCACCGTCGTCGTCGGCGTCGTCGTCGTCGTCAACGTCGACGTCGTCGACGCCAACGTCGACGGCGCCAGCACCGTCATCGTCTTCGTCGTCGTCGCCGTCGTCGTCCGCCGTCGTCGTCGTCGTCGTCGTCGTCGTCGTCACCTTGTTGATCAGCAGCAGTGTCGACGGCGCCAGCGTCGCCGTCGTCGCCGTCGTCGCTCGGGCCGCCCCGGAGGGGCGAGCTGGCCGCGCTGGGGGTGTGGCGCGACAGCTGCCGCGCGGAGCTCGCGGCGGCCCGCGGCGAGCTGGGCGAGGCGCACGGCCGCGAGGCCGAGCTGCGCGGCGCCTGCAGCGCGACGGCCCCCCCCGCGCGGGGTCGTCGTCGCCGCGGCCGTCGGCTGCCGTCTAAGGCCTGCAGGGGCCCTTCGGAGGCCTTCGTCATTGCAGCCGTCGGCGCCGTCCACGCCGTCCACGTCGTCCTCATTGGCGGCGGCGTCGTCGCAGTCGTGGTCGCTGCCGTCGTCGTCGTCGTCGTCGTCGTCGTCGTTGTCGTCGTCGTCATCGCCAGCTTTGGGCGAACTTCGGCCGAAGCCCCTCGAGGATCGATGATCCCAGTAGGTTTTCGGAAGCTTGTTGGCGGTCTCTTGTGCCTCCAGAGGCCTCTGGGGTCCGCCCGCTGCGCTGTGGGGCCGCCGTCGCCGTCGTCGCCAGCGCCACCGCTCGCGATGCCGACGTCTTCGATTTCAGAATTGGTTTTGATGGCTGTTCTGGAGGCTCTCGTCGCGACGGCTGGACGCGGATCGAACACTTTCTAGACGCTTCGCGTAACCCCAGCAGTTCCCTCTCTTTTCTTGCTGGCTAGTCGCGGCCCAGCTAGTGATCGGACGGCTTTCGGCTTGCTTCGCGAGCCCGCAGACCAAAAACCAAAAAGTAACCCCAGTAGCCGGTTGCCCTAGCTTGCTCGGCGTTCGACTCGTCTTCGCGCGCCCGCGTACCAAAAAGTGACCCCACCAGCCCATCCAGAAACGATGCCCAGAGGCCTCGATCAGGGAAGTGGGCAGCACGCAGAAGAAAGGTCCCCCAGGGGAGGCCTCTTGGAGCGTCTTGGGGGCTTCTTGGCGGTCCCCGAGGCCTCTTGGAGCGTCTTGGGTGCCTCGGCGAGCTTCTTGGGGCCTCTTGGGGGTCTCTTGGGAGCCTCTAGGAGGCCTCTTGGGCGCCTCTTGTGGCTTCCTGGTGCCTCCTGGGCGTGCCGACGTGTTCGTTTTCAGAATTGGTTCTGATGGTTGTTCTGGAGGATCTCGTCGCGACGGCTGGACGCGGATCGAACAATTGGCCAGGATGAGCCCACGGAGGGGTTTCGCGGATTTGCGCCTTCCGTCGCCATCGCCGCCGTCGACGTCGTCGAGGTTTTCGCATGTGGACGCAGGTTTTCGGAGCCTTTTCGACTGTTCACGGATCTCTTCGGTGTTTCCCGTGTTTTGCAATCGTCAAGATTCCCCCCAGTTCCTCTGGAGCGGCGCCCTGGTCACCACGGCTGGATCCGCCTCGAGATCATGGGGCATCGTTCGCCCCCCTCCTCGTTGTGGATTATGCGCACCTCAAGAAATTACTGTTGGGCGCATCTAACGCAAGAAGGGCATGGTGCCTTCAAACGGGGCACACTGTAGCTGCTGCACGCAGGGTCCGAGTGAGGCCCGATGGGCTGGAAAGGCTGAAAACTGGCCTCTACCCTCAGTCTCTGAACGTTTCAGGGATGAGGGGACATCCGGGGGAGTGGTCTCCGCGGAGCTTGACGTCTGAAGGGTGAGAGGACAGAAGATGCCCTGGGCAGTGTTTGGGGGGCTCTGGTGAGGCGGCTGGGACCTCTCTTGGCCTTCACTGGGAGGTCCAGGAGGATGGCGACAACGATGCCGCCGCCGACACTGACGAAATGAAGGCGCAGACGCCGAAGCCGACGACGCCGACTGTAGCCAGGACTTCAATATTAGTCCAGCCGTTGCGACGAGGGCGCTCGGGGTGGCCCACAAAGGCCCGAAAACGTCTCAAGTCCTGAGTCCTCGAACCCCGATTCTCGAATCTCGGTCGACGACGCCGACGCTGACACCGACGCCGACGAAGAGGACGGCGCCGACGAAGAAGTTCGCAGGCGACTTCTCGCCCCCAATCCTTGGCTCCCCCCCCCCCCAAAAAATGAGGCTGCCGCCCAGAGACGAAGGGAAACTCTGGGATGCACATCGAGGAGACGATATTCGGACGCGCGCCGATCGAGGATGCGCGCCCCTGCCATCGACTATCCCCGAGTTCGGCCCCAGTACTTCGGGCGAGTCGAAAACCCCACAAAGTCTGGAAGTCGAACGCTCCCCTCTCCATGCCACGACCACCCTCCTCCTCCTCTTGCTGCTCCTCCTGCAGCTTGGGTGGCGACTAGCCCAGACATCCAGCGGCTCGAAAAATCGAGACGGCCGATTTGCCACACGAGCGACGCAGAAAACGGAGTCGTCTTTACCGACGTTGGCGCGTAAGCTGCCCGCGCAAGGTCGCGCGTAAGCGCCCTCGTCTCCACTGTGGCGTGCCGCGCTGGCGGCCCGCGTAAGCAACCGCGCAAGGTCGCTGTGTCACCTCGCCACGTTTCTTCTCGTTGCTCACATGTTCTCCCACGGAAGCGAGCCACCGTCTCCGACGAGAGCGAGCCGCTGGATGTCTGGTACAGCACTCGGCAAGGGGCATCCGGGCGTTGCGCCATGGAGGGGCGATCGACCTCTCCCCCCGAGATAACTCCTCGCTTCGTTTTTGTCCGGGACCTCTCGACATGGGGTGCCCAGGCCTCTCGGCATTTTTTCCCAGGGGCCAGCTTTTTGTTGCCGGACCGCTTCCCCCCGGGGCCCCAGAGCCCGAGAGCAGGATCCAGACCCCTCCACCTAGACTTTGTTCGAGATGAAGGGGCATTCGGGCGCTGCGTAAGTCTGGGCCTCCCACCCTGGGGTCCAAAAGGGGCACGAGCAGCGCCCGGTGCGTGTGATTACTTGTCTTTTCCTTTGGTGGTAGCGGCCGCTTCCCGCAAAGGCGCGCTCCTCGGAGCTGGCCTTCTCGGAGCTGGCCTCGGTGCGGGCGGAGCTCCTGGCCGCCGGCGCCGGGCGGGTCCAATCGACGCTGTGGCCTCCGACATCGTCCGTTTTTTGTCAGTGCCGACGTCTTCTTCCGTCAGGACGGCCCTCAGGAAAAGTCCTAGAGTCCCATAAAACTCACGGCGTCTTGATTCTTCCAATGCGGTGTCTCCCGAAGTCTGGACCCTTTCCCAGGGGCCAGAGTGCTGTTTTGACGGCCCCAGGGACTGGCGAGGGCCGAAAACGACGAAGTCCGCACTGACCTCTCCCATGACGCTGGATGTCTCCGCCAGCGCTACTCGTTCGAGCCTGGGCCGCAGTACGCCTTCCAAAGACCTGCACGGGTCGGCTGGCCGCCCATCCCGCTTCCCCCACTCCGCGGCCGTCCTGTTGTTGCCCTGTAATTTTCTTGCGGTGCCCAAGTCGCGGCGGCGAAATCCGAATCTTGTCATCGCAGGTCAACGGTTCAGGCAACTCGATGAGTGGCCGGCCGGGGCAGGGTTCGGAATTAATCAGTCGAACACGGCGAAGACCGAACCCTCGCCCCGCCCCCCATCGATACAGGAGAACCGATGCGTGCTGGGGTTAGGGTTCGGATGCCGGCACCTACAACTCGCCGCCAAGTGCCCCTGAGCTGCTCCACCGACCTGCGCGCTCGCCGGGCCCGCTACGGAACTGCCGGCGCGGCACGCTGCACTGGAAGCGAAGCCGCTCACGCGCGACCCTGCGCGTGACGCTTACGTGCCAATGTCGGCGACCCCTGTTTTGAGTCGGGCATGTGCCTCTAAGTTGAAGAATAGTCTGGTGACGGTGTTTCGTGCTCTTTGCTGGATTATTTGTTTACAAGGCTTGTTTCAAACACATGTTCTTCCCAAGTCAGCCTGTAGGAGGACATGCCCGACCTAACCCCTGTTTCTTCCGTCTCTCAACTCCTGATGAAAGTTGCGCCTGGGCCCCGACCGGCACTCCGCCGGCGCGGCGCGCCAGGCTCCGAGCTGCGGGCGGCCCGCGCCGAGTTGACCGCGGTGGCGGAGCAGCGCGACGCGGCGCTGTCGGAGCTCGCGGCCGCGCGCGCGGCGCGGGGCGCGGCCGCCGCCGCGCCGAGCGCCCGCGCCGCGGCCGCGGCGCCCGCCCGCGCCGAGGCGGCCGCTGTGGGCGGCGGCGGGGAGGCCGCGGGCTGCCGGGGCGCCGCGCGGGCGGCGCCCGACGAGTGCCCGCAGGAGGGCGCCGCCACCGTCCGCAGGTGGCCAGCTCCTCCTCTTCTTCCTCCTCCTCCTCCTCCTCCTCGTCCCTCCTCGTCTCTCCTCCTCCCCCTCCTCCTCCTCCTCCTCCTCCTCCCGTCCCCGTCCTCCTCCTCTTCCTCCTCCTCCTCGTCGTCGTCGTCCTCCTCCTCCTCCTCCTCCTCCTCCCCCTTCCCATCCTCCTCCATTCCGATAAATAACTTCTCCCTGTCTCGCCCCGCGGCCAGTTTTTAGGGCGGGCCAGGCGTTTCGCCTGAGACTTCCTCACCACTTATGATTCTGAAGCTTAAAGATTGGCAGCAGTTTCACAGATTAAGGGCGGGTGGTTTTCAAAATGTGGTTCTCGCTTTAGCGCGGTGCACATTCGTTTTAAAAGCTTGCAAGAGCTCTTCACGGATTGAGGGCGGGTGGTTTTCAAAATGTGGCTCTCGCTTCAGCGCGGCGCGCATTCGTTTTTAGATGTGCAAGCGTTTCACGGATTGAGGGCGGGTGGTTTTCAAAATGTGGTTCTCGCTTGAGCGCGGCGCACATTCGTTTTAAAGATGTGCAAGAGTTTCACCGATTTAGGGCGGGTGGCTTTCAAAATGTGGCTCTCGCCTTAGCGCAGCGCACATATATTGTTTAATGAAAGAGCTTGACGGATTGAGGGCGGGTGGTTTTCAAAATGTGGTTCTCGCTTTAGCGCGGTGCACATTCGTTTTAAAAGCTTGCAAGAGCTTGACGGATTGAGGGCGGGTGGTTTTCAAAATGTGGCTCTCGCCTTAGCGCAAGAGTTTCACGGAGTCCCATCACCAACGTGCCAGAAATGGTGTTCTGAAAGGTTTTGCGGGTGCAGCACTTATGTTGATTTGTTGTGTTGAAGTCCCAGGTATGTCGTTCTGGCGCGATTCAGGATTGTCAAGACGCAACAGTCAGGTTGATCCGTGGCGTCGAAATGTCGAGAGCACTGTTTTGACATGTGTCAGGGTCTTCAAGCGGTTGTCTTCCAAAGAGGCAGTTCCTTCAATGGAAATGAACCGTTGTAGGGGCCTGTTAACAGGAAGCCTGGAGAGAGGGTTTGTCCCAACATCGTTGATGACTGTTGGGTTTACACTGGTCCTCCTCATTCTCCTCCTCCTCCTCCTCCTCCTGCTCCTCCTCCTCCTCCTCCCTCCGTCGCCATTTTGGCTCAAGCCATTTTGGCTCAAGGCCATATCGGGAACTCGTCCCCCCGACTCAAGTGGCCTGCGCCCGCCGCGCGCGCGCTCTCGGCCAAAGGTGCTCGCCCGAGCAGGCCGTGAGCTATACCCTTTCAATCACTGCCACTTGTGCATTTTGCCAGTGTTCGTGTACTGTATCTTCCCTTTCGGTTCTGACGGTTGGCCGCGATGGGTCGCTCGGCCAAGGCCAGGCGTGCTGACAAGTCGTCGGAGTCAAACAGCCCGTCCAGGAGGACTTCGCATTCGAGAAGGTCCTCGCCGACGCCCAGGCGCCCACGCCGAGACCCTGACCGCCTCTCGATCGGCTCATCTCCACCGCCCCGTGATGATAGGAGCAGGAGTGCAGGCGCTTGTTCTGACAGTCAGCCTCCTGTTTGGATGAAAGATATGATCGGAGAGGTTCGTGGGATGAATAATAACATAGCAAAGTAGGAACAAAGTATGCAGCAAGAAATGCTCACATTCAGAAATGCTCTCACGATTCACGACCAGAGTTTACATAATATGAATGCGAGGATCATTGCAGTCGAGCAAGCACCGACAGCCAGGATCGAGGAGGCCGTTGCGGCGGCGATCGACACCAAATTAGAGTTCGTGCAGAACCAGCTGGACGCGCTGAAGGCGGGCTCCGTTGACCCTTCCAGTGCGGGATCGGCTGACCTGGCGATGGATGATGGTGCTCGTCCTGCACATGCTGGTGGAGGTGGAGGTGGCGGAGGCCCCAGTCGACAGGCACCCACGGATGCATGTGTGCGCTTCCTTGGGACCTTCCCGAGGCCGCTGCTGAAGAAGGCGAGGGAGAAGCACTACAATGAGACGGTTCTTGCACGATGTGCGCATCTATTGAATGGAGTGACGCCCTTCTTCCACGGCATCTCGCAGAGCTACAAGCTCACCTTCCCGACCACCGTCGCCGCGAAGACATTCCAGCAGAGATGCAACGAGGACGGCGGCCATGACTGTGGACAATCGTACTCAGAAGACATCATCGATTCGCTGCCGTGCCGACTTGCCAGTGGATGTGAGGATGAGGCAGAGAGCTTTCAATGGCATCTTCGAGCCCTTCCTGAATGAGTTGAAGAAGAGCCCCAAGTGGGGCCCGTCATGCCGCCTGGGGGTGAACGGATTCAAAGGAGTTCTATTGGTTCGTGATGATGAGGACATCTGGGAGATCGTCGCAGCCAGGGACAAGTCGAAGTCGGATGTGGAGTTCATTCCAATCCATGAGGAGCTCGCCGAGTGGGGAATCAGCGCTGAGACGGCGTCCTCCATCATCGAGCGGGTCCGTGCGCAGCTCTAGGCTGCACCACCAGGGCATCATCGTAGTGACCACAGGGATGCAGAACGCGATGGTCTTCGCGAGGCGGAGGGGACGCTGAGCGAGGCCAGCAGTTCTGTTTTTGCAGCCCCGCTTGGGGGCTCAGCGCTTTCTTGTGGCAGCAACAGTTGCAGCAGCAGCAGCAGTCAGTTTTCTCAGCCAGGCAGTCAGTCCCCTCTCTCCCCCCTCCTCTCTCGTCCCCTTGCAGTGGATCAACGGCTCAGCATCTGCTCCTGGAACGTTCAGACCCTTCTGGGATCGGTGTTCACGGATCAAAATGTTATTCGGGAAAAGTTCAGGCGCTTGAGGACACTCCTCAAAAAAAACGATGTTGTGTGTATTCAGGAATCCCATGGTATTGCAGAGGACCTTGATCAGTTGGAAAAGGATCACAAGTCTCACAAGCCGTTCGGGACCTTCTGTGAGTCAGCTGCCGCTGGAGGCCTACTGTTCTTCATCTCACGTAAGCTGCTGTCGAGGTTTACTGCTGCGCATCTAGATACCATAGTGCCTGGTCGTATTGCTTCTCTCCTTCTCCAGGGACCTCAAGGGTGTTGCCAGATTTTGAACGTTCATATTGTTCCTGATTGGGCTGAGTGGGAGGTTCGGGGGATCTTCTCTCGTATCCAACGTGCCCTTCTTCCTTCCGGTGTGTCTCTTGGTTTTGTCGTGGGTGATTGGAATTTTATGGCCACGGGGGAATCGAGGCTGCATGCCGATACTGGCCTGGATGGCCCTGTAGGCCCGCGTCTTGCATCACACTTTCTTGCCTCGCTCGGCCAGCTGGGGGAGGTCATGCAGGAGAGGGATACACACAGGATTATTCGTACAACTGGAAGCGAGAGTGGGGCTGGCGAGCAGGTCTCATTTGCTCGCCTTGACCGCATTTACACCGCGCTCGCCTCGCAGGACCTGCTGGGCCTCTGCCCGGGGACGGGGGCCATTTGGCCCATCACTGACCTCAGAGCCCCATCAGACCACTGCCCTGTATTTCTGTCGCTTGCGGCATGGTCCCCGTCGGGCACTGCGCGTATTCCCAGCTGGGTGTGCAGGCATGCCCAATTCAGTATTAAGCTTCAGGAAATATTGGATCCAGAGGCCCTCTCTGCAGTACCGGCTGTCCGGCTTAATGAACTTAAAGAAGTTATGAGATACGTCTCGCAGCGCGTCAAGGACTGGGTCTTTGAAAAGGGGGCCCGCGCGGTGGAAGAAAAACTCGCTTGTATGTTGTGTGTTCTTCGGGGGGCTCGGGGGGGGGGCTCTCGTAAGATCTCCAAAGGCCTCAGGGGGTTCCCTGTTCTCTCCAGGTATCTTGACCCTCAGGAGCTGTGGTGGACGGACCGCCAGGGCTTCGACTCGCTTTTTTCGGACCTGATGCGTCAGAACCTTCGTGCTCGCGAAGTCTCTGCTCGCGCGGAGGCGGATGGCGACGTCGGTGGAGCCCGTGCCGCGCAAGCCATTGCTCGCGTCCGCCGTCTCGGCCAGGCCTGGAAGAAATCTGGTCGCCAGATTTTTCTCCAGCAGGTTGCGGATGCTGACGGCATGGCCCACAGCGATCCGAATGAGTGCTCCAAGTTGTTGGCGGATCACTGGAGTGCCATCTTTAGTGCTCGTGAGGTAGATAATGAGATGATTGAATCACTGGCCGCTGAAGTTACCCCGATCCCAGAAGACCAGCATCAATATGTTTCCGACTCTGGTTCGATCTACCCCTGGGTCATCCCCGAGGTTGTCTTCGCGGAAATCCTGGACCAAAAATATGACTCTTGCCCTGGGCCCGATGGTATCCCTTACTCGGCCTGGAAAGCCTCTGGAGATATTGGTTTGGAATGCCTCTACTCTATCTACCTCGAGCTGGTTGAGCACCAGCGCCTGCCGCCCAACTTTAACGACAGCGCCGCTGCCTTCTTGCCGAAGGGCACTGCGCTGGAGGGTGAGACCGTCGCTCGCGCTGCTGAAGAAACACGGCCCCTTTCGCTTTCGAATACGGACAACAAACTTGTGAGTGCAAGCATTGGTTGGACGCTCTCCAAGGTTGCGAGTGACAAGGTCCTGGGTGCCCAAAAAGGTTGTTTAAAAGGTAGGCAGATGATCGACAACATTATTGAGGTGGACGCGTCGATGCTGCTTGCGCACTCTCCCTGCGACTGTCGTCGTGCAGGCACGGCCCTGTTCGACCTGAAAGCGGCCTTCCCCAGCATTAACCACATCTACATATGGTATATATTACGTGCATCTGGTATTCCTGAATTTATTGTGCTTAGCACTATGGCCTTATATGGTAATAGTCGTATGGTTGTTCAATTTAATAACTCGGAGCCCTGCTATATCCAGCTGTGTCGTGGTATCAAACAAGGTTGCCCCCTAAGTGGTCTCCTCTTTAGCCTCTGCTTCGACCCAGTCGTTCGACGATTGCAGCATGTCTCTTTGTGCGCGGCTGTCACTTTTAACGTGTTCGCGGACGACGTGGCCGCGTCAGCCACCGATCTTGTTGCGGTGCTCCCGAGGGTGTGCAATATCATTGTGCTGAGTGGGCGCGCCACTGGTCTGATGTTGAATTTGAAGAAGTGCCAGCTAGTTGTTCCTGATGAGGAAACATGTACCCAGGCCACCCATCTCTGCAGGGAAGCAGGTATCAGGATTCGGCAATTTGTTGTCTCGAGGTGCGGGTGGTATCTTGGAGTGGGGGCGGGGATCGAGGCGTCTGGAAAGTCTTGGGCCCCTGTGCTCGCCAAGTTGAAGGAAAGGTGTTTGAGGATCAAGTCTATGGGCTTGGGGTTATCGTCTAGCATTGGGGCCTATAATGTATATGGTCTACCTGTAGTTTCTCATGTATCGCAAGTTCATGTTCCTCCTCCGCGTGCTTTGAAGGTGGAAAAAGACGGGCCCCAGCTTCTCACATGCTCCCCGAGACACAGCTTCCCGCCCATGTCCCTTTTCAATTTGCGTTGGCTCGGCCACCAGGTGGAAGCTCGTCGTCTTGAGACGTATGCCCGAGCTTGTATGATCCGTGCAGCCACGAGAAGTACGTGTTTTTTTTTTTATTTTACTCCAGGCTTCTTGACCTCTGGGCAGAGTCTGATGAGATCTGTGTGGCCTGGAGGTATAAGATTATGACTCGGCACTCGATCTTCATGCAGATGAAGACGGCGTATGAAGAGTTCTATAGGATACATCCCCAGCCAGGGGATATACCAGCCAATAAAGTCCAAGCGTATATCCAGAAGCAGTTGAATGTTTCCAATCGTACGCCGTGTATTCCCTCCATCCTCTACCCTCGCTTTGCCAACTGGTTCCCCAGATGTCCCATGGAATTTGCTGATCGGGCCTTTATTCGACTTCATATTCTAGGTTCCAAGCTCCCTGGGTTCGTCGCTACCGCCGTCCTGAAAAGCCTCTTCAATTCTTGGAATACGACCAGACGTTATCGTTGTGGAGCTGTTGGGTGTCGGTTCGGTTGCCAAGCAGTAGGAGGGGATGATATATTACGCTATATGGTTTGTCCTATTGCTATCGGTGCCGTTCGTAACAGCTATCGACTTCTTCCTGACGACTATGGAGTTGACCCATATTCTTCCTTCCTCCCCCACCTTCTCCCAGCTGATAATGAATCTTTTCTGTCCGCCTGCCTGGCCCTTGACTGTCTGCACTCTGCTTTCCAATCTCTTAGGTCCTCTTGCTCCGCCCCTTCCCCCGCGCGTGCAATAGGCCTGATCCGAGCTCGTGTTCGCACCCAGGTCCGTCGGTCGAAGGTCGCCGAGACCCTGGCTAGGGCGGGCCCTAGTCGGCAGCGGCCATGATGTGCGTGGCCCCCCCAGGCGCGCCCGCGGCGTGCTTCTCTCTGGGCAGTGGTGGACGGGACCTCCCTCTCCCCCCCCCAGAACGCGGGTCGCTCCTCCTCCCCCTCCTCCCCCTCGGAGGCTCGGCCTCTCGGCTGCCCCTTCCCTGGCCTGTTTTGGTTTGTTTGCTGGTTGCCGTCGGTTGTCCGTCGGTTGCTCGGGGTCCCGCTTGGCCTCCCGGCTGGCCCTCGGTCGCTCGGTCCCATCGGCTGCCCTTTCCCTGGCTGGTTTGGGTTGTCTTCTGGTTGCCGTTGGTTGTCCGTCGGTTGTTCTGGCAGCGCCTGTGGGCAGGAGAAGGCCGGTCCCAACAAGAGTGGGAGCCCATGCCAAGAGACACCCTGCTTGCCTCCAGGGTGCCATGGGTTTCTTGGGTGTCGGCGGTTTTGCGATGGAAAACGTGACGCTCCCACACCACAAATCCATGGGCGTCCTGGAGTCTCGGGGTGGGGTATCTTGTGTAAGGTTTCTTGTGGGCGAGCTCCTCCTGCAGGCCACCGCGCACGAGAGCGAATGCCCCGACGCAAGCAACGGGAGCGAACAAACATCGAATTACTTAGACGTGGCAGCAGGAGACAAGACAGATACCCGGAGGCCAGGCAGGTAGAGGGGGGCGATCTTCAGGATGAGCACAGATCGTCCCCCACGGGCGTCTTGGAGCGCCATCGGAGCGTTCCGCAGCGGAGCGTTCCAGAGCGCTCCGACGCATCCTCCGGACCCGCCAGTCAGAGATTTCAGATCGTTCTTCATCCGGATGTTTCCTCATCTTGCTATGGTGTGAAGGTGGCAGATTTTGAGACCTAGAAGAGGGAGGCTAGCTCTTTTCGCTGGCCTCCCGCCGGCGGACCCGCCCTCGCTTCACTCCCCCAGCTTCCGCCCGCCTTTTTTTCCGCCGCCGTCCGACGAGGAACAGACCCAGGCGTCCAGCGGCTTGAACTTTTCGGGACGTGGGCCCCGCGACCTATCAGGCAATTCCTCGGGCTCGCCTTTTCATCCTGAGCCATTTTTTGCAGGCCCTGGGGCCCGAAACCAGCCTCCAGAGGTCTAGATTGCGAGGCGAGGATTTACCCGCATTCGCCGATTGGAGAACCTATGTCGTTGGACCCTCGAGCGGAGGATGTGAATAGATCTGGGCCCCCTGGGGCC